TCTACATATATGAATAAATAAATGCCCCTCACAAAAGACATTATTAAGTTTTTCTCCTTACCCTTTCTTCTATGATAGGAAGTGAAATATCAATAAAAGGATCTTTCATTGTGGAGATCTTTAAAAGAAAACATCGCGAAGTTCAGTTAGAATTCTAATACAGACAATGTAGCTTCATAAAGTCTTAAAGCAATCAAACTTTCCAGGCAACTTAAAATTTTAAGTTAAAAAACATTCCTGGAACAAACAGCGATTTAATTGCGTATAGCAGCAAATATTGTTAACTTAAACAAGACAACCCAAAACTTTAATAAATACAACTCAATACAACTCAGTTAAATTTTATAATGTTGCCAATATGACCAACCTATAATATTTAAAGTAACTTAGAAATAAACTGTATAGTATAACAATGATTAAACTAAAGATATAAATATATTTTTGGTGAAATCAGTGTCACAACATAAATAAAATGTGAAATGTTAAGAAACAGCCATGAAAAAAACCAATCTGACTGCTTTATAGATTCTTTAGCATAGTCTGTTTTAAAAGATAGTCTCTATCTTCTGAGAGAGAAATCAACTTCTATGTTATTAGAAATCTAAGTAATACGTTGAGACAGTCTGTGCTTCAACATGACAGTCTAGAAGATATTATACTATAATACTGATTGTATACGACTAGGGAGGATAGAAAGGTACTCCATAATCTGGGACAGAAAAATGGACATAAAAACTCTCTCTTTTACAATAAAATCTGACAAAAGTTTAAACTGGTCATACTCTAAGCCACACACTTTCAGAAATATTCTTTATCAAGCAATTGAAAACCTATAAAAATTTATATATTTTTAAATTGCTGTTAAAGTACAGATGGCATTCCAAATAAAAATTATCATTAAAGATGAGTCAAGTCTACTTAAAAAAATAACTTCATAGCCCTATAAAAGTAAACTTTCAATCAAATGTGGTAGGTTACCCTAGGTTATGTTACATTAAATGATTTCTATTGGAATTACATTTTAGGGCAATCCATAATTATATAACATAGTAATTCTGTTCACAGAGCCTTCTCTTTTATTTCAATACAAACAAGTAGCTGACACATTCAAGCATGTTAAAATACGCTAGGAGAATTTCACAGGCTTCTCGAGAGGAAAAATAACATGTCTACTTTAAAAAATTATAAATTATATTTACTTTCTAGGAGTAAAAAACACAGTTTAAGCAAACTTTCAAAAACTATTATGTAGTCATCTGCCACATATAAAAATAAATGACTGCTGATTATACGTGAAAGGAAACAATAAGTAACATGACTGTAATCCATTCCATGTTGAAGTGAATTTCAAAGTACCTACATTTGCACATTCTTCACACATCACCGTGCTAGTTAATTCACCAATAAAGATCTGATTTATGAAGTTCATTTTCACACCTTCTCTTCCATATGCTGCAAAAATAATACTTTTTAATATAAAAAACATGTCAACCGTCAACCTAACAATATAACATGCTTTTTTCTGTTGACTTCAAAGAAATCTAAGGCAGATGTCCAGTACCACATTTAATAATGTATTTTACTTAGGATGTTATGTCTTTCTCCTTTACAATTTTGTTGAGAAAGTGTGACTATCAGCTACAGTAGTCTCCAAGTAATAACAAACTGCTCATAAGAGGTAAAATAAGTAGAGCAATAATCACTATTCCTACTATACCTCAATTGCTGCCATTAAACCCTTTAAAGCCTGTGCCTAACCTAGAGGTAGGGGGATGGGAAAGGAGATTATGCCTTTAGGGCTACAGATGCCAGGACAGTAACTAGAAATGACAGAGCAGTAAGAGACAAGTAAACACACATAGTGTAAAGATTCAACATGGCAATTAATAACTGTTTTATATATATATATATAAAACTGTTCAGTTATATAAAAAATGTTAAAATTATTCTGTTTGAAAAATATTTAAAATCAAAGGAAATTATGCCTATGATTTGCTTCACAATAGTTTGAGGTTGGGAGAAAACAGATGAAACATGATACCCCATGAAATGAATGTAGTTTGAGTGGGGTGATGGGTACATAGGGCTTCATTATACTATTCTCTCTACTTTAATAAAAGTTTGAAATTTTCCATAATAAACATTGGGGGTGAAATATATTAACAAACGTATTCACTCCTCTTTCAAACTTTTCTTCTACCCTGTTTGAGTCTCTACCTTCAAATTTCACACCAACAACATTAAAAACCATTTTAAAACATTATTTGAAGCACTGAATGACAGAGCAGACATATATGGATGTATCAATAAACATTTATTAATTATAACTACTTAGAAATTATGGTTTCATTAAGAAAAATTATACAAGGGATTAACAATAGAAAAAGATGACAAAACAGGAAAGAGGTGAAAGAAAAACTGGGCAGTTATTCTAAACATGCACTAGATGGCACTATCTCAAAATAAAAGAACAAAGTATGCTTGCAAATCTACATTTTTTTTAAATCATGAACCCTTAACTACATATAAAGTTTTGGCACACATAATCACAATGTGTGTATATTTGTTTATAAATTATAGACCTGTAGCATGTACATATAATGCTACAAAAACACAGAAGCTAGAAAGGAGAATAAATAAAATACAAATAATATTTTTAAATGTCTTGCAAAAATAATGACTTCATATTACCATTAGTTAATAATATCTCAAGGCAGAATATACATCTAGGACAAGGTAAATCACTAATGACATGGAATATAAGCCCACATGTAAATATTGATAATTATAAGTGATCAGCTTTGATTAATCATTATCTTTGCCTCATATTGCAGCTGATGAAGAGCCAACATAGGAATAAAGTAGACATGTACGCTTGACCTATTAGTACTTTCTTCAATAAATGGTCTCCTTGCAGGAATCTTTGGAGCACTTAAGCATTTTTCTAGTTAAAACTAGATAATATAGATAAACCCAGTTACCCAAGCACGCTTCAACTGCAAAATGGTACAGCATGATGACAGTGAACTTCCAAGTGAGTGTCCTTTTCAAGTGTCCCTTAGGGATAGTTCACATAAGGGCACAGTGCCAATCTGTATATTTGATATTAGTTTTATTTTTAATAATTCACATGGACACATCCTAACATTTTCTATGACCCACTACACCATCTTACAGCCACTGGAATAAGTATACGTACTTTCATTCTAAGGCCACTACTTGAGATAATTAGTTCATATAATGCTCAGTTCTTTTCCCCCTGAAAATAAACTTCTAATATTTTCTTCTAGTAGAAAGGTTTAACAGTGAAAGAGTCAACATACCTTTGACTTTTTTCCTAGTTTCATCATCAGCAGTTTTAGTAGTTGGGTTGTTAAATGCTTTTAGAATGCTAGCTTGTATTCTCTATAAAACAAAGTTAATAAGAATTTAGTATGTATCTATTCTTTCAAAGCAGTAGTCTGTCTTCCTTTTAATATGGGGTTAGTAAGTTAACTCCAGCCTCATCCTCTCAATAAATAAGAGAAGGACTTTCAAACAACAAGGTACACTGGATCTCAGCTCTCTGATCTATAAAAAATGAATTAAAAAAAAATTAAGTATGTCCTTTCCTCAAGTTCTAAAATTCCATGAATGCACAATTCTCCTATTTGGTAAAGAATTTGGAATTAGAGTCAAAATTCCTATGTTTAGGTTCTCTCTTGGATTTAAAGTATTTTTCTCAGTCTAAAAAAAGCAAGCATGGGCCGGCTGAGTGGCGCGATGATTAAGAACTGGCTTCGGACGCCAGAGGGCCCCGGTTCGGATCCCACATATGAGGACCAGTGACACTGCCATCCACAGCTAAGATGCTGAACAACAGCTNAAAAAAAGTGTTCTTGCCAAATATTAAATAAATAATCAAACCTAAACCTAATTAGGCCTCTAGAGCGAACAGCCTTAGAGAGAAAATAAAGGAGACAGAGGCACCTGTTAACAATATATGAATGCAATAGTAAAATGAATTTCCATTGATGTGGGAATGTGAGGAACTGCTAAAAAAAAAAATGAGCTGATTTTAAGAAATAAATTGCAAAGAAAAAAAGGCAGGAGGTGGGGAGGAAACAACGATCTGTAGATTAAAAGAGATTTAGGAGACACGTCAATCAACTGCAATCCATTGGTCTTTTTTAGATCCTTAATTCAAACACACTTTAAAAAGCAAAAACAAAAAACAAGTATTTATGAGACAACTGCAGATATTTAAATAACCAGATATTGGTGCTAAAAAGAAGTTATTAATATTTTAGGTATGATAATGGGACTGTGATTATGTAGTTAAAAAGAGTATTTATCTTTTAGAGAAACACATTAAAGTATATGATACATTTGGGATTTATTCCAAAATAACCTGGGGTGGAGAGGGGGAAAATGTAAGATTCAGATAAAACATTATTAACCGTGAGCTAATAACTATGAAGCTGAGAAATGGGTACATGGGAGTTTATTATACTATTTTCTCTACTTTCGTATATTTTTGAAATTTTTATTTAATAAAAGTTTTAAAAAACAGATGTCTCCCAAAGGCACACAAGCTTACCTTATCTTTAGATGAAGAAGGCTTCTTAGTTGCTCTGGGCTGTTGAGTATTTTCTACAGTAACAGTGCCACTGAACTGACCAGTATCTGTCTCCTTCAAACTTCTATATTTACTCATTCTTCCCAAAAGTACAGGTTTTGAAACCTACATAGATGTCATATACATAACATAAAACTTTAAGAAATAAATTCTGGATAGCATCTACTTTTTAAAATTTTTAACTCGTTTTGAAATATAAATTCCTGAACATTAATTCTCAAAACATAAAGCATAAGGGTTTAAATTCCTTGAGAATAAGAACTATATCATGCTTTATGCATACATACACAAACCCCAATATTACACTGTATAATTACTGTATATAAAAAAATAATGAAGGGGCCAGCCGAGTGGCTCAGTTGGTTAAGAGCTCGCTCAAGAGTTTGAGCTCTGAGCAACAGCGGTTCGAGTCCAGCCCGAGCTGAGCAGCCGCTGAG